TAAATTAAAAAAAAGCAATTGAAATGTAATTATTGCTCCATAAAAGTAACTAGTCGAGTGTGACGTTTCTATGTACTTTTGAAAAAGTTTCACTTTTTTAAATGATGTAATAGTTAAATGATACATTGTATCAGCAAAAATGTCAAATAACCAAAATACCCAAAAAAATTAAATACGTTATTTTTATATTATGGAATAGTAGCTAAATGATATATGATAAATGATAAATGAATTTTAAATAAAAGTAAAGTAATAGAATATTAGCTTAATTAAACATTAAACAAATTAACAAAAATTCTTTTTTTAAATTATGAAAAGGTTTTAAAAAAAATACTAAAGATCTAAATATATATGTATGCTTGGGGGTCTGCAGATGGAAATTAGCCTATGGCTATAATCTGGCATATTTACATTTGTGAAAAATGTTCATTAATATGTATTGTCCCTTTGTCTTTTTCTACAAATAAAATAAAATAAATAAATATAGTAGGTGTAGTTAAATTATAAGTATGTTAGCAAACAATTTAAATTAAACAAAATACAAAAAAAATAATTAAATATGGTCTTTTTTTTTAATTAAGGAATAGTGGCTGAAAGATACATTGCAGGAAAAAAAAAATACCACAATTTATTTATTTTTTTTAAGCAAATAAACTTCTACAAAATACCTCCTGGAAGTAAATTAAATTAATTAACCTAAACCAGGGTTTCCCCACACTGAAGCTAATAATTTAATCATAAATGTAAATACATAAAACAAATAAAAAATAAAACATATTTTAAAACAATGAAAGACTCACGAAGAGCGTGATGGGTAGCCGATGAACTGCGAGTGCTTCTTCACGATCTCTTTGATCCGCCGCTCCTCGATGTACTCCATCTGATCCTCCTTCAGGTGCAGGATCACCTTAGTGCCGCGCGTCCCATCGGCTCGGCTGTAGAAAAACACTCACTTCACATTACAGTTCCAGGACAATGATTCAAAGAGATAATCGTCTTTAACCCTCTGGTGCTCTTTGGTAACTTTTGACGGATTTTTTTTTTTACTTATCGGAATGGTTTCGAAACTTGGTAAAGGTTTTGGCACTTGTTATGCGAACACACAAAAAAAATCATGGCAAGGTTTTAATGATGCTGTGTATTTTTACATTTTTAGAGTAATTATTTTTTTGAAAATATTAAAAATAGTATTTTTGCACATTTTCATAACAATAAATTTTAAATTCTGTAACTTTCTTTTAAGTTCACTTTTTACACGTCAGCATTAATCTGCCACGTGTTGTCTTTAAAAAGAGATCAAACTTCAGTCCGTCGGTCTAAAAAATTAAAGCTTTCAATTTTCATGTCGACACTCAAGAAAAAAGTGAATAAATGCATTATAAAAAAAGCGTAAATTTAATTTAGTACCATAAAATCAATATAAAATATTAAATAAAACCTTAACGAACTAAAAAAATAGTACATTAATTTAATTGAAATAAAAAAAATTAATTTCGTCCATTTTTGACCGACAAGCGAAAAACACCAGAGGCTTCAAACAATTCAAAGACGTTGGTACTTAAAGGTATCCACTTACAGTTGTCCACTTTAACGGTGAAGGATCCGCCGGCGGACGACTCCCACGCGTACTGCTCGTCATCTATGTTTTTGGTGATGACCGTGACTTTCTCGGCCACCAGGTACGCGGAGTAGAAGCCCACACCGAACTGACCGATCATTGAGATGTCGGCTCCAGCCTGAAGGGCCTCCATGAAGGCCTTTGTGCCGGATTTGGCGATGGTGCCCAGGTTATTAATGAGGTCCGCTTTGGTCATGCCGATGCCGGTATCAATGATCGTGAGTGTGCGGTCCTGTTTGTTGGGAATGATTTCGATTTTGAGGTCTTTTCCTGAGTCAAGCTTGCTCGGGTCTGTGAGGCTTTCATAGCGGATTTTATCCAAAGCCTGATGGGAAACAGAATATTTAGTTCCTTATGCGTTACACTGTTTTATTAAAACACTGAAAAACGTTGATAAATTGCTTGTAATGTGTTTAGTTTTTTGCATGCATTTATGGAATGCAACCTTTTTAAAGGTTCCTACTTTTGTACCCTATATTGAACATACTGTAGATTGAAACGACTCAATATTAATTTTCACTTGGAAATACGTCAAAAACGGGGACTTTAATTTTCTTATGAGACATTTTAAGTTGGTAACACTTTATTTTAAGGTTTCATTGTTAGTGTAATTATTTATTTAAGTACTGGGTAATATTAAGCAACTGGTGCTTACTCTAGAGATTATGTACAGGATTAGGATTTGGTTGAGGGTTAGTTGCATGTAATTTATGCATAACTTACTGTTACATGTAACATCACTGTAAAATAAAGTGTTACCAATTCTTGTTATGGTTTTACAGTAATTTCCAGTGCTGGGTATCCAAGATTACGCACATCTGAAGAGTTGGAGATGAGCTCCCTGAGGAAGATCTCTTTGTTGGAGTAGAAGGTGTTGATGATCAGAGACATGAGCTGAGCGATCTCAGCCTGGAAAGCGAAGGTCTCGGCCTCCTCGGCCTCCATCGGCTGGTCGTGCGCCTCCGGCATCTGTGAGAGCGTGGGAAAAACACAACATTACATACACACACACACACTATTTGACGAGGGTCATTTGCACATCTCAGACATTGAGTTATTATGTGTGAAAAGCAAATGAAATGGCAGTAGAAGGAAGCGCAAACGTGATTAATTGCATCCAAAATAAAAGTTTGTGTTTACACAATATAGCCTATATATATATATAAAATGCATGTATATATTTAAGGCAAAGGTGTTATTTATATATCAAATATTTATATATAATATAAATTATGTTTAAATACAGTATAAACATGCAAAGATTTCTTAAATATATAAATGCATATGTAAAATGAATTTATATATACAAAATAATTATAAATGGTATTATTATGAAATCAGTTATACAATGTAACGTTAAATGTATTCATTTAAACAACGTAATAAATTAATCATTTAAATTGCATGTTGCCTGTAGACATTGCAAAAATAAAGAAATGAAGTGAGAGAATAAAACGAGATGTTGCTTTTGTCACTGATTTTAGCATTTAAAAAGCATTAGTATTTAATTCAAAGGAAGCTGCTTAAATGTGGATACTTCAGTTTATCCTAACCTGAACCATTTGAGGGCTAATAGCGAGTTTTAATTCAAAAGTGTTATGCACATATAACATATTAATTCTATTATTAATCCATTAAACTCATTAGACAGGGATTTAATTTGTTAACTCCCACACTAAGCTGAAGGGAAATGAGCGGCACCTGTCGGTCCAAGCGAATCATTACAAGCTTCTAGAACCTACCGAACTCTCTATATCTCACATACATTAACATGGATAACATCACTTCAGTTATCACTGTACGTGTAATATGTGAATTAGAAAGAATAATGCCATTAATTTCAGTGAGGAAAAATACCAATGCGTTAATTTATGCTTTAATATTGACATCCTCGATATTCATATATACAACTCACATATTTTAAATAGCTCTTATTGACATGAACATGCAATAATGATGTCCTCAAATGCTTTCATAAGCACATTTATTGATAGTGTGAATCTTTAATAATAGCCTCGTTTAATCTGATGAAAATCTTCTGAGGTAACGTTAAAACTCCAGATGGACTCCTTATCCACCGCATCATTTCTAAATATAAGCACTTTTAAATATAAGTAACGTTAACAGCGACTTACAGGTGTAAGAAAAACTTAAATGGACTACATATTTGCTCAAATAACATTACAATTAAAAAAAAAAACCTCCGTGTACGTTAAATGTTAAATAGCATCACAACTGTCAGCAGCAGAATGAATGAAACGGGATTAAACGTCGAATATCCTCACAACATTTGCGTGATATCACACAACAAGAGAATGGTATTGAATTAGGACGTTATTGCGATTATATTTTCTTACCTTTAACGATTTGTTAAAGTGAAATAGATTAGGCGCTTCTCCTGACGAAAGCTGTGAGAATTTTCTCCTCAACCGTCACTTTGAGAGACTTATAAACTTGCGCGTGCGTTACGCTTACTTATATACGTCCAGTTGAGAGAGTTCGAGAACGCGTACGTTCCACAAATCTCTCGAATCTTCTCAATGCTTTCCAATGGGCGCGGGGGAGGGGCTTGGCTGTCAATCATCCGCTCGTCACCATTACATCGGTTAAGGGGGCGTGTCCAACAGTGAGGAACATGAAATTTCTAGATCGCTGCTTATGGAAAATGAAATCAGAAGTACTGTGAAATAAAGACAGACTTCAGATCATTTTTTATTATTAATCATTTATTAAAAATGTTCAACTCATGTTTACAAAAACAGCTTAAATTAGAAAAGCTCTGAACATACAATGTTCTGGTCACTATGTAGACACAAACACAAAAAAAAACATTCCATTAAAAATACATTAACAATTTACACTAAAACTCTTTAGTCAACTTCCTCCATTCTAGAACTGTCTTCATCGCCCTCCAGAACTGGCATATCTTCATCAGCAGGTTGAGTAATGTCCTCTACAGTAGAGTCATCGTCATCAATGCCTGAAAAATACAGATTAAATATAATTAAGCCACTTTTTCCTCTGAAATTTCATTTATATGACTACAATCTTAAAGTCAACATGATATCAAAATTTACAATTACATTTTTAATGGAATATTGCAGTGAGGATTTAATCATGAACATCATTATTTAAAAAAAATAAAAATAAATAATAATAATAATAATGCACCTCAGCAATAAATGAAAACGATCCAATTATTTCCCAATGGACAAAATTAAGGTTTCATGCTGATTTTAAAAATAAACGTTCCAAAATGGGATTTTGGTGATGCTTTTGTTTTGAAGAACCATTTTTTGGGTTCCCCAAAATAACTTTTCAGTGAACGGTTCTTTAAAGAACCATTTTTTCTTAGTGTGAAGAACATTTGAATAATCTAATAAAGCTTTTTGCACTGTAAAAAAAAACAACAACAACAAAAAATAACCTTATGTGCAATGGAACGGTTCCATGGATGTTAAAGGTTCTCCATGGAACCATTAATACCAATAAAGAATTGTTATTTTAAGAGTGAGTGATTGCTTTTTTAATGGGCATTACCAATAACCAAAGTAGAGTAGAGTGTAGAGTGCAATATAATGCTACACCCAAAAAATGCTGGGTTGTTTTAACCCAAAATTGGGTCAAATATGGACAAACCCAACAGTTACATTTTTAAAACTAACCCAACTGTTGGGTTTGTCCATGTTTGATTTTGTAGAGTGTAATGAACTGTAGGCTTGTAGACACCAAACTTACCAAGACCAAGTTTGATCATCCTATAGATGCGATTAGCGTGTGTTTGTGGGTCTTCCAGGGTGAATCCAGAGGAGAGCAGGGCGGTCTCGAACAGCAGGATCACCAAGTCTTTCACGGCCTTGTCGTTCTTGTCGGCTTCTGCTTTCTCTCGCAGGGTCTCGACGATGGGATGGAGGGGGTTGATCTCCAGGTGCTTTTTAGCAGTCATGTAGCCCATGGTGGAGTTGTCTCTCAAGGCCTGAGACTTCATGATCCTCTCCATGTTGGCCGTCCAGCCGTACGTGCTTGTGACGATGCAGCAAGGCGAAGACACCAGGCGGTTCGACACGGTGACCTGTTTGGATACAAATCCAAATATTCATTATCATTTCAGAGTTTTAAAGAGTATGCATGTCTAAATCTTAGACTAGTATGCTAACGGCTTCTACCTTCTCAATCTTTTTGTCAAGAATGTCTTTCATGATCTTGCACAAGTTCTCATATTTGGTCTTCAACTCCTCCTGCTTCTTCTTCTCCTCCTCGTCCTCGGGAAGCTCCAGACCCTCTTTGGTCACGGACACCAGATTTTTCCCATCGTACTCCTTCAGCTGCTGAACGCAGTATTCGTCGATGGGCTCGATCATGTAGATCACCTCCAGGCCGGCTTTGCGAAGACGCTCCACGAAGGCCGAGTTCGCCACCTGGTCTTTGGTCTCGCCTATAAATATAGGATTTGTATTAGATTAAATCTGTATTCATCGAGTTGCTTCGAAAGAATCGAATCGTGCGAGTAGAATTGGGACATCTGAATTGATACCCAGCCCTAATTAAAATAATGAAGTTCATTAACCAACTACTGACCGGTGATGTAGTAGATGTGCTTCTGGGTGTCCTTCATCCGAGACACATAGTCCTTGAGGGAAATCATCTCGTCTCCAGAGGCGGATGTGTAGTAGCGAAGCAGCTCCGAGAGTTTTTTGCGGTTCTGAGCGTCCTCATGGATGCCAAGCTAGAATAGAAAATACACGTCTTGGATACATTCATACCCCATCTATGAGTTTCATTAGCTACTCGAAAAACTCATATACCTTGATGTTCTTGGAGAACTGCTCGTAAAGCTTCTTGTAGTTGTCTTTGTCGTCGGCGAGTTCGGTGAAGAGATCCAGACACTTCTTGACCAGGTTCTTGCGGATGACTTTCAGGATCTTGCTCTGTTGAAGCATCTCTCTGGAGATGTTCAGCGGCAGATCCTCAGAGTCCACCACACCCTTGATGAAGTCTGGGAGGGAAGTTGAACTCGTTAACACTTAAACTCTTGGGTCAATGTCTAGGAATCATTTATAATGAACTCTAGAGACTCTTACTGAGGTATTCAGGAATGAGCTCATCGCAGTTGTCCATGATAAAGACCCTGCGCACATATAACTTAATGTTGTTTCTCTTTTTCTTGTTCTCGAAAAGATCGAAGGAGGCTCTTCTGGGAATAAACAGCAGAGCGCGAAACTCCAACTGGCCCTCAACCGAGAAGTGCTGTATCAACAAGAAGATGATTGGTGGTCTTCTCAATAAAATTTGTATGTAATATTTCTGACTCAACATTACTACCAACCTTGACGGCCAGGTGATCCTCCCAGTCGTTGCTCAAACTCTTGTAGAACTCGCCGTACTCTTCGTTGGTGATGTCATCTGGGTTGCGGGTCCACAGAGGTTTGGTCTTGTTGAGCTCCTGAACGTCAATGTACTTTTCCTTGACCTTCTTCTTCCTCTTGTTCTTGCCATCTTTGGTGTCTTCATCCTCATCAGCCCCCAAGTCCTCAATCTTGGGTTTGTCTTTGTCATCGCCAGCCACCTCCTCCTCCACCTTCTCTCCTTCTTCAAGGTCAACCTCCTTCTCTCTCTGTTTCTCAATCTGCAATGTATTTTTATGTATTATAATGTGGGCACTAGAAGCATTGGGAGGTTTGCCGTCCAGGTACCAAAGTAGAGGCACATACAAAAAGCTGAATTTGTTCCCCCAAACTTTATAACAGGAAATTGCAACTTTATATTTACCAATTTTGGAGTTTTGTGAGGAATTGCAAGTTTACGTCTCTCACAAATCAGACTTTATAACACCCAATTGTGACTTTATATCATGCAATGTTTTTCTGTTTTAAAATCTGGGCACTAGAAGCATTGGGAGGTTTGCCGTCCAGGTACCAAAGTAGAGGCACTTACAAAAAGCTGAATTTGTTCCCCCAAACTTTATAACAGGAAATTGCAACTTTATATTTACCAATTTTGGAGTTTTGTGAGGAATTGCAAGTTTACGTCTCTCACAAATCAGACTTTATAACACCCAATTGTGACTTTAAATCATGCAATGTTTTTCTGTTTTAAAATCTGGGCACTGGAAGCATTGGAAGGTTTGCCGTCCAGGTACCAAAGTAGAGGCACTTACAAAAAGCTGAATTTGTTCCCCCAAACTTTATAACAGGAAATTGCAACTTTATATTTACCAATTTTGGAGTTTTGTGAGGAATTGCAAGTTTACGTCTCTCACAAATCAGACTTTATAACACCCAATTGTGACTTTAAATCATGCAATGTTTTTCTGTTTTAAAATCTGGGCACTGGAAGCATTGGAAGGTTTGCCGTCCAGGTACCAAAGTAGAGGCACTTACAAAAAGCTGAATTTGTTCCCCCAAACTTTATAACAGGAAATTGCAACTTTATATTTACCAATTTTGGAGTTTTGTGAGGAATTGCAAGTTTACGTCTCTCACAAATCAGACTTTATAACACCCAATTGTGACTTTAAATCATGCAATGTTTTTCTGTTTTAAAATCTGGGCACTGGAAGCATTGTAAGGTTTGCCATCCAGGTACCAAAGTAGAGGCACTTACAAAAAGCTGAATTTGTTCCCCCCGGACTTTATATAACAGGAAATTGCAAATTTATATTATACAATTTTGGAGTTTTGTGAGGAATTGCAAGTTTACGTCTCTCACAAATCAGACTTTATAACACCCAATTGTGACTTTAAATCATGCAATGTTTTTCTGTTTTAAAATCTGGGCACTGGAAGCATTGGAAGGTTTGCCGTCCAGGTACCAAAGTAGAGGCACATACAACAAGCTGAATTTGTTCCCCCAAACTTTATAACAGGAAATTGCAACTTTATATTTACCAATTTTGGAGTTTTGTGAGGAATTGCAAGTTTACGTCTCTCACAAATCAGACTTTATAACACCCAATTGTGACTTTAAATCATGCAATGTTTTTCTGTTTTAAAATCTGGGCACTGGAAGCATTGGAAGGTTTGCCGTCCAGGTACCAAAGTAGAGGCACTTACAAAAAGCTGAATTTGTTCCCCCAAACTTTATAACAGGAAATTGCAACTTTATATTTACCAATTTTGGAGTTTTGTGAGGAATTGCAAGTTTACGTCTCTCACAAATCAGACTTTATAACACCCAATTGTGACTTTAAATCATGCAATGTTTTTCTGTTTTAAAATCTGGGCACTGGAAGCATTGGAAGGTTTGCCGTCCAGGTACCAAAGTAGAGGCACTTACAAAAAGCTGAATTTGTTCCCCCAAACTTTATAACAGGAAATTGCAACTTTATATTTACCAATTTTGGAGTTTTGTGAGGAATTGCAAGTTTACGTCTCTCACAAATCAGACTTTATAACACCCAATTGTGACTTTAAATCATGCAATGTTTTTCTGTTTTAAAATCTGGGCACTGGAAGCATTGGAAGGTTTGCCGTCCAGGTACCAAAGTAGAGGCACTTACAAAAAGCTGAATTTGTTCCCCCAAACTTTATAACAGGAAATTGCAACTTTATATTTACCAATTTTGGAGTTTTGTGAGGAATTGCAAGTTTACGTCTCTCACAAATCAGACTTTATAACACCCAATTGTGACTTTATATCATGCAATGTTTTTCTGTTTTAAAATCTGGGCACTAGAAGCATTGGGAGGTTTGCCGTCCAGGTACCAAAGTAGAGGCACATACAACAAGCTGAATTTGTTCCCCCAAACTTTATAACAGGAAATTGCAACTTTATATTTACCAATTTTGGAGTTTTGTGAGGAATTGCAAGTTTACGTCTCTCACAAATCAGACTTTATAACACCCAATTGTGACTTTATATCATGCAATGTTTTTCTGTTTTAAAATCTGGGCACTGGAAGCATTGTAAGGTTTGCCGTCCAGGTACCAAAGTAGAGGCACTTACAAAAAGCTGAATTTGTTCCCCCAAACTTTATAACAGGAAATTGCAACTTTATATTTACCAATTTTGGAGTTTTGTGAGGAATTGCAAGTTTACGTCTCTCACAAATCAGACTTTATAACACCCAATTGTGACTTTAAATCATGCAATGTTTTTCTGTTTTAAAATCTGGGCACTGGAAGCATTGGAAGGTTTGCCGTCCAGGTACCAAAGTAGAGGCACTTACAAAAAGCTGAATTTGTTCCCCCAAACTTTATAACAGGAAATTGCAACTTTATATTATACAATTTTGGAGTTTTTGAGGCACTTACAAAAAGCGTGATGGGGTAACCGATGAACTGAGAGTGCTTCTTCACAACTTCCTTGACGCGCTTCTCCTCAACGTATTCAGACTGGTCCTCTTTAAGGTGGAGGATGACTTTGGTACCACGTCCAATGGATTGACCTATAGTTGCAAAGCATGATTTGTTATTTAGCACTTTTTGAGTTCTGTTTGATTTGGATCAAAACTTTTAAGAGCTCATACCATTGTCTGGCTTCACTGTGAAGGATCCGCCAGCTGCAGACTCCCAGATGTACTGCTCGTCATCGTTGTGTTTGGTGATGACCGTGACTTTCTCGGCCACCAGGTACGCGGAGTAGAAGCCCACACCGAACTGACCGATCATTGAGATGTCGGCTCCAGCCTGAAGGGCCTCCATGAAGGCCTTTGTGCCGGATTTGGCGATGGTGCCCAGGTTATTAATGAGGTCCGCTTTGGTCATGCCGATGCCGGTATCAACGATCGTGAGTGTGCGCTCTTTCAGATCGGGGGTGATTTCAATCTTCAGGTCCTTGCATGAATCGAGTTTGCTTGGGTCTGTCAAGCTCTCGTATCTGATCTTGTCCAGTGCCTGTTTTGAAGATGCATTAAAAAATGGGCAACCAAATCAATTGGATTTAGCCTTTGGTTATGGTGGATTGTGTGAATTTTGGAACAAATGCTTGATGTTAACCCTCATCCTTCCCTCATATTGACCTGAAAATCATTTAGTAAAATGTTTTAAAAACTGTTCATCAGAGGGATTGTTGGGCTTCGGGTCATTTTGACCCGTGAGGGAAAGATGAGGTTAAATCTCTCTGATTAACTCACGTCTGAAGAGTTGGAGATGAGCTCCCTGAGGAAGATCTCTTTGTTGGAGTAGAAGGTGTTGATGATCAGAGACATGAGCTGAGCGATCTCAGCCTGGAAGGCGAAGGTCTCGACGTCTTCCTCCATCACGGGCTGTGCTGCTTTCTCAGGCATCTGCGTAACGAAGGAAATGGATACATATTATTTACGAGAAATAAGTAAGAATTGCGAGAAAATGCAAGTTTACATTTCGCAGTTTAGACTTTATAACACTCAATTGCAACTTTATATTATGCAATTCGGACTTTATAACTGGCAATTGTGAGGAAAAGTCAGAATTGCGAGAAAAAAGTTAGAATCGCAACTTTACATTTCGCAGTTTAGACTTTATAACACTCAATTGCGACTTTATATTATGCAATTCGGACTTTATAACTGGCAATTGTGAGGAAAAGTCAGAATTGCGAGAAAAAAGTTAGAATCGCAACTTTACATTTCGCAGTTTAGACTTTATAACACTCAATTGCGACTTTATATTATGCAATTCGGACTTTATAACTGGCAATTGTGAGGAAAAGTCAGAATTGCGAGAAAAAAGTTAGAATCGCAACTTTACATTTCGCAGTTTAGACTTTATAACACTCAATTGCGACTTTATATTATGCAATTCGGACTTTATAACTGGCAATTGTGAGGAAAAGTCAGAATTGCGAGAAAAAAGTTAGAATCGCAACTTTACATTTCGCAGTTTAGACTATATAACACTCAATTGCGACGTTATATTATGCAATTCGGACTTTATAACTGGCAATTGTGAGGAAAAGTCAGAATTGCGAGAAAAAAGTTAGAATCGCAACTTTACATTTCGCAGTTTAGACTTTATAACACTCAATTGCGACTTTATATTATGCAATTCGGACTTTATAACTGGCAATTGTGAGGAAAAGTCAGAATTGCGAGAAAAAAGTTAGAATCGCAACTTTACATTTAGCAATTTAGACTTTATAAGACTGATTTGCGACTTTATATTATGCAATTCGGACTTTATAACTCGAAAATTTTGAGATTGCGAGAAAAAAGTTTAGCAGAATTGCAAGTTTACATCTCGCAATTTAGACTTTATTAGACTGAATTGCGACTTTATATTATGCAATTCGGACTTTATAACTTGCAATTGTGCGAAAAGTCAGAATTGCGAGAAAAAAGTTTTGCAGAATTGCAAGACTTTAAAAGACTCAATTGCGACTTTATAATTGCATCTTAAATCACTTAAATTCCTTTGAATTACAAAATTGCAGGTTATTCGTAACTAAAAAGTTTTATATATTAAATAATACATTTTGGTACTTTTGATTTGCTCTTCTCTCTGTGCTCGAGGCTTTGATGAAGCGACAGCTGATGAACCCCACTCTATATGTGTAAAAGCACATGTTCAGCACCTGTCATGAGCTCCAGAATGGGGGAGGAGTGTCACATGTCCTCAGGCAAATGCTTTAATTATGCAACCTTTTTAGCACATTTTGGAGAGTTTTACTAATGTAATCTGACCTATATTCTCATTTTTAGGATGTTGTTTTGGGTTACTCAGGTTGAAAAGCCTCAGCTGTGTCGGCACGCTCGCAGACGTGTGCTCCTCGTTTCTATGTAAAACCCATTGAACTGGCGTGCATTGAAATGTTTTCACTTCTACAATAATCTTCCAAGCGCCTGCTTTCAAAAGTGGCCCAACATTGCTCTGATGTGCTCTAAAAGCATTCAGGATTTACAGCAATTTAAGTCTATGCTGGGTTGTTTCAACCCACCCGTTGGGTTAAATTTTTAAATTACATTTTCTAACACTTTATTTTGCAGTGTCTTTGTTATATATGTTAAATGTAATTACTGTAGGTATAACAGTAAATTATGCATATTTACGTGCAACTAACCCTAATCATACCCTAACCCTATAGTAAGCATAGTCATAAAATGGACTGAAACTGTAAAGCTGTACAATAATCAGATATGAACACAATTCTAATCACTCAATGATCTAAAATCAATGCGAATCCCAAACTCAGTTTATAGAGAGTAATTCCTCTTACCTTGATAATAGTCTTGGGTGTAGATCAAGGTCTCAGGCGTATGGAGATCTTACTCCACTTGAGTTCGGGTTGAGTTCAGTGAACGCTGACTTCTTCTAGTCGCTGGCTTTGCTTTATCTGTCGAGGAGAAGGCCTTCGGGCTTTATATACTTGTGACGAGTTTCTCGAAACCCCCATTGAGAAACTTCCAGAAGGAATGCCCACTACAGATAGGAGTGCTAAAGTAAGACCACCAGGCCGAGTGTGTGTGTGTGTGTGAGGGGGTGTGTTTGCTATCCTAGACCCCTTTTGTCCTTTTTTGGGGCAGGGAGTCACAAGAAGTGTCTGTCAATCAAAGGAAGAACGTTCCGGATAGCACATGTGTCCATCGGTGACTTCTTCCTAGTGAAGTCTCGAAAGCTCATTGGCTGATTCAGCGAAATATCTCTGAGGTGCCCAAATGCACAATGAAATCAAGAGATAAAACTCTGTAAAAGGTGGAACTCTGAACTTGCAGGCCTAGTTTCACCTTATGACGCCGTTTGTGTCGAATTGGTTATAATTTGGCAAATGTCAACACTGCGAGTCACATAAAAACATAAAACCTCTAATATAGGTTGTTAGAGACTAAAAAAATGTAAGATTTAAGAAATCATGAACTCTTGTGTTTAAAAAACTCTTCCTTGGTTATTTGACCCATACTGTTTTTCAATGCAATTGGCCAAAAATCAAGGCTATGAAAACCTCTAGTCATGTAAAAACATAAGCCTGTATTGTACTGACTAAATAAATATGAAATATGAAAAAAGTATCAATCAAAAAATAGTTTCTCTATTTAGTGGTCAATTTGACCCACATTGTTTTGAATGTAAGGCTATGACAAACTCTATAGTCATATATAAACCTCTAATGTAGGTTGTTAGAGACTAAAAAATATATAACTGTTGTGTTTAACATCTGTTTATTGGTCATTTTGACCTGTTGTTTTCAATGCAATTCACCAAATCAAGGATATGAAAAACTCTAGTCATGTAAAAATCATCAACCATGACTAAATTAATATGGGATATGAGAAATTTCCAACAAAAAATAGTTTTTTATCTCTTTAGGGTTCAGTGCAGTTTTGCCAAAAATCATCACAATGAAAAACTCTAGTCATGTAAAAACATAAACCTCTTAGGTTGCAGACGAGGTGAAGATCTAAATGCAGCAATAACTCAAATCTTTACAAAACCAAGAGCAGGAACAGAACAACAGAACAGAGATTGACAGACGGAAACACATAAACACACAGAGAACAGACAAACAAACTCATGACGACAGTAATTAACAAGACTTCAGTGACACCGCTAGCGACTAAATAATATGAAACATGAGAAATGATCCAAAAATAATAATAAAATGGTTTCTCTCTTTAGGGGTCAATGTGACACACATTGTTTTCAATGCAATTCGCATTGCTAAATCAAAGCCGTATGGATTAGCCTACTTTTATGATGGATGGATGCCCTTTTTTAGGATTCAAAATCAGGAGAGCCATTCCCATTATAAAGATGGGAAGAGCCAGGATATTTTTAATGTAACTCTGATGGTGAGTAAATTATGGGATTATTTTCATTTTTGGGTGAACTAACTCTTTAAATTGCTTGTATAGGCTATCTCTCAGTATGCTATAATATACACCAGAAAAAAGTTCACTCAAGTTTATTCACCCCCCAATAAACTATCAGCTTTTGTTTGATCAAAAGGTGAATTCACAAGGTGAATATATATATATTGTAAAATATATACACATACATATATGTTGCCAATTAGTAGTGCTGATTAAAGAATGGAATTATTTTGAATCGATTCATTGAAACGAATGAATGATTCTTTTGAACCGATTCATTGAAACGCGGAAATGAATCGGACTAGTTCTCGAGGCTTTCTAGTGGTTTCCTGACCAGAGGAGGGCGCTACTGTTTTCCAGCACATTCTCTGACTGACTGTGTGTGTGTGTGTGTGTGTGTGTGTGTGTCAGAGGAGTTTCCAGAAGCATCTGCGAGATATATCAACCTCAATGTAAATAAAAAACAAATGTTTTTCAATTTTTTTTTAAATATACAAACGTTAAAAAAATTTTTTTCTAATTGTTACCAAGAATATAAAAATGCAAAACATTAAAAATATTTTTTTAAATGTTTAAAAGTTCCCAAAATGTTAGGTACCACAAAACATGAAGAAAAAAATGCTTTAAAATGTTCAAATTTATTGTAAATTGTTGCTATATGTGCAGCTGTGAAACACAGTTTGCCCTCTTCTGAATTTTTTTTTTTGCATATTTGTCAGACAATGATTTAGATCATCAAACAAATTTTAATATTACACAAAGATAACCCAAGTAAATATAAAATGCAGTTGAGTCTATACACACACATATAGATAGATAGATAGATAGATAGATAGATAGATAGATAGATAGATAGATAGATAGATAGATAGATAGATAGATAGATAGATAGATAGATAGATAGATAGATAGATAGATAGAATTCAACTGTAAAGTGCTTAAAAATATTGCTTGGCAATGATTATTAATATATTATAGGTGTTTATGCTGCAACCCAGAAAGCCTTTGGTCCATTAAAACCACTATTCATCAGCATGCATTGATTAATCCAATGGCATGTAGCAAAAAAAAAGTTCTTCCCAGTTCTTTGGGGAACCAAAAATAGTTGTATTGCATCTCTACAAAAACCATTTACTTTTCAAAGAGGATGTTATTTTTGTTATTTTATGTTACTTTGAATTTTAGACGCGTTTTGATCAAGGGTTCAAACCAAAAAATTGATACATGTTCTTGAGTTGCTTGGCCATAAAGACACAGGTCTTGATTCAGGACTGATGATGGACATTTTCTTGTTTTATAAAATGCAAGACAAACTCATTTATGCGTTGAACATTTAGTTTTCTTTATGGAAGCTTGTTAGCTTGTTGAAGTGTTATACTCATATTCTTGTCGGAAGATGAGTCTGATCTGCTCCATAGGGCTTTGATTATGAGGCGTGTCGTAACCGAACCAGGAAAAAAAAACTCTGCACTCAGTTGGATAGTCGGTAAACCTACAACCAATCAGAGCAACGCAGTAAGTCAACTACTTTGCATACAGTTGTCAACTACAGAACTTACTTATTTTACAAGTTAAATAACTTCATTTACTTGAGAAACCACAACGACCACAGGCTTTTCATTACGTCCCATCTTCTTAACTCCCAAATCATGTAGGAAGGACGGCAAAAATATCTTTCCAATCGACAAATGCCTTGATTGCAGTCCTCTTGTCTATTAAAATGAACGCGCTGTCCATTTATTTTACAAACATACGCGACTCTCCAGCTGCAGTCATCTCTGAGGGAAACCAGTTAAGCGCTCTTTGATAACGTGATGATTACATCCCTGCAGATCATCTGTCCATCATCGTTTAAAGCCCGCCCTGGCAATCTGATTGGCCCGAACATTTTTTGCCTGATCATAATTACTCCTCAATGGATCGAGTCCAGACCGAACTTCCCGAACAAAAAATGTTGTGGGCGGAGTTGGGGCTGGCATCCAGACGCTTGTTTCTGCCACAAAATAAAGGAAATTGTGACTTTTTGTCTGATTTTATTTCATGTTTATATTTCACAATTCTGACTATTTCTCTCAATTGCGAGTTTCAAAATTCTGACTTTATTCCATGCAAATATTAGATTTTTCAATTCTGTCTTTTTTTCTTACAATTGTGAGTTTCAAAATTCTGATTTCATGCAATTGCAATTCTACATTTATTTCAATTAATTGTGAGTTTCACAATTTTGTCCGTCATGCAATCGTGAGTTTATTTTTTGCAATTCTGACTGTATTTCTCTGGAAATTATGATTTTATTTCTCACAATTAAAAAGTTTCAAAAGTTTCTGATTTTCACATATTTGCAAGTTTATATGTTGTAATTTTGACAATTTCACACAATTTGTACAATTTCACAATTCTCCCTTTAGTTATTGTAAGTTTATAATTTGCAAAAAAGTCTGAATTGTGAGATAAAGCATTGCAATTTTATTTTTAATTTTTTAAAAAAAGTTTCCTGCGAAATACTTTTTCGTTTCATTTTTGTAGGACCAATGCTGTTTAAAACCATGACCAAGTATGAGCATTTCATTTGCATTCACATAATTATATCTTGACACTTACACTAATTTATCCCTGATTATATATAAATTGGCATTCATCTATTATATGCATTAGTATTATGGCAGTGGATGTGCATGTTGAGCACATGATGGCACCGGGTCAAAGGTCACACTGGACTAAACATTTGTAATTAGAAGACTTGCAGTGTATTTATGAACAGATCTGTGTGCAATATTCCCTTTTTTACTGGATGATTCCATTGTTATTAATTGCATTTACTTCAAGAGTATATTGAGTCATGTTTCTCCTAAAATCCCTCTGGAGAAATAAAACACCAAACGATTTAATAGTTGTGACTCATGAAGTGAGCTATAAAATCAACGCTCATTTGATCTTGAGAAGTGTTTAAAGACGTTAAAGCAGAGGATTCTCGTATAAGGCAAGCAAATGGAGGAGGGAACCCCTTCAAAACCACGAAACCTATCTTGCAATTTATAAAGTTGCAAACATATCTTAGTTATGAGAACAGCATTATGAACTTAAAATCTGTATTAAAGTGATTCTTACTGGCAGCTGAAAAAAAATGAGTCATATTTTGATGTTATTTTAGAGTTATTTACTATTTATGGACAGCACTTTGTTAATGGTTTTGAAAGTGCTTAATAAATACATATTAATAAAATCTGAGTTGAGTTGAAAATATCAAATTATTAAATGTTAAAATGTTTAATAAACAAGCAGAGATCTATGGCCATTTCAATTAAAGCACTCACACACACACAAATTTGGAATAATAATCGGTTTTGTCCATACACTTAATGCCAATGGGGTTTAAGTCTTTGTATGGTTATGGTTTAAGTTAACGATAACAACAACCACCCAGGTCGACCGGACTAAGAGTAAAACCTTAGTGCAACCAGACGACCAACAGCTCCGAAGGCTTTTCTTTCTCACACAGTGTTGGATCTGTAAAGATTGAGGCCAGAGATCTGGAAAGCTTG